ATGATAGATTACAGATCTTAATCAACAATATTGTGAATTTAGATAACAAATGTAATAAATAATCTTGTCAAACCTTTTTGATTAATTTATTCCATTTATTCATTTAAAGTACTTTTACAAAATTGACAGGACCTTGATCCTGCACTCACTCTGGCTAGTTAGTAGTGGTCGAGTTCATGTATCTCGGTAACTGTGTAAGTACTGGAGGTGGCGTGGATAATGAGATCAATTCACGTATGGTGAAAGTCAAAGCGGCTTGTGTCAATCTGGGTCATCTTTGGCGCCTTCGTGTTGTTAGTCTGGCTGTAAAAGTTCGGATCTACAACGCCTCGGTGACAGCAGTTTGGCTCTACGCGTGTGAAACCTGAACTTTCAGAGCTAAGGATGTTGGATAATTTATATGTCTGATCATCGTTGTCTCCAAAGGGTTGCTGATATCCAGTAGCAGCACCATGTTAGTAATGTAGAGGTTCGATATCGTGTTCAAGCACAGCGACGACAATTCAGTTGGTGTCACAATCTGGAAACATTGACTTCGATGGCTTGGACATGTTCTACGAATGTCATCCTAGAGAATTCCATATCGTGTATTATTTTCCAATGCAGGGACGAGTTGTGAAAAGCGGAGAGGTGGACGGTGTATGACATGGTGTTGTGGATTGGATGAAAGCTGTATAGGAATGGTTTTTATCGATCATCCACGACTCCCTAGTTGGGGTCCTAGAGGTGGTACAACACACTGGCGGGAGACTTGATCAGACATGGCTCAGAATAGAAGCTCGTAGCGGTTGTGCTGTAACTTTCTTTCAATTTCTTTGTAAAAGTGAACGTAACTTTTTTAATTGAAAGAATTCTTTCTTACATCCTCTACTTCTTTTCAACCTCATTGTTATTGTGTGGTGCGTATGTATTTGGTACCCTCTTGTACCAATGTTTGTGTTCAAATAAATAAACAAAGAGTTTCAAATAACTTATCAGTGTCAATTTGAACATTTATGATGCAGCCTTTCAAGGTGATTAATAGACGGTCAGGCTTCAGTCTTCTCAAATTCGCTAAAGCCGTTGCTATCGGTTGTCCGAAACCTGATTTATGTGTTCAAAAAGACGGTTATTAACCTTTCTTTGCCTTGATGACAAATACTCCTTCACGATATCATGAGAATTTTGCTTATCTCTTTCCTTCAATTAATTGTATCACAGTATCTTTTTATTTCAACTGTCTTCTAGATCAGTAATCCTATTTTAATTAATTCAGCTCTACTCATTCTAATCCTAGTTATTATCAGAGTTCACTCATTACCTAGCCACTTGTTTCTAGCCCTTTCTTAAAACCAATGTTGTAGAATGTTTTTCACATAAGGTATATACGTATATTTTAAACAGTCTATTAAATTTATCTACACTTGCAATACTATACTAATGTTTCTTCAAAGTAATTTCCAACTAAACTTTTTCTGAAATTAATACAAACCCATTCTGTAACTATGATTTTTAAATATCACAGGTTGTAAGCAGCTGACGAGAATCAAACGAAACAAAATGAATTCATCTTATTTAACTCAAATCTTTGTCGATGCTCCTTTCAAGGTGGTGAAATGGAGTATGTTCATTAAACTGGAAAGTATTCTATCGTTTCTCTTAGTTATTTGTACGTCAGCCATATAAATATGGAGTATTCATGCGTTACTCTGAATTTCTTAGTTCGATTTCCAGTAAAACTGTATAGTTAGATCTCGCTTATGTGATTGTATTCTCATTCTGTGTGTTGACCTACACTCCTAGTTTAGAATTTGGGTCAGTACATGTTGTTAATCGTATCCCACTCATTGAAATATACTTGTGATTATATAGGGACTTATTTTACGGTAGTCAGCTGTCTGGTACACTTCTCAAACATAATACCGTATATGGACACCATTTCATGAAATTATGGACTATAGATAGGTCTTATGGTAAACAATAATATCTTGGCAAAGACCCTAAACAATTTTAAACAAAAAAAAAAAACTACCAGAAATGATCTTTGAAAAATTAGGTTGGTAGGTACATAGTATAGAAGACTATGTAGCCTTCAGATTGATTAGTTATAATGATCTTCAGTTTAATACTACGACTGTTAATCCGAGTCAAACACTAATTATTATCAAAGATGTTTATTCACTACTTTTTAAAATGTAAGTAGTTTGGATTTTGATTATTACCCTGAAGAAAACCAGACGAAACGTTGGAATTATTAAAATTTCAATCGCTAAAATTATTTCAAATATAATTTTCATATATAATGAAGTAGTTTAAATCGTTTTGCAGTCTTGCTTGAAATGACCTCAATGAATACATGGAAAAATTTCGGATAAAAATGAAACACCCAACTTATCTGCTTTTAACCTAATAATAAAACAACTAAATCTATATTTGCATTGTTACAGTCAACTAAAGTAACATAATACATTTCTGTAAATACAAGAAAATATAACCAAATATTCATTTATCACAAGATGTGAAAAGGAAGAACCAATAGTTTATTCAATTTATATCTACTAAGAACAAAAACTCTCATCTATTTATTGGTTTTATAAAAATACAAAACCTGATTCAAATCGATAACAAATTCTTAATAGATTACTAATTTCAGTGTGAATAGAAGATTTGTATCACAAGATTTTACATTAAATATTAGTAGAAATAGATCAACTTGTTTATTGAATAGTAATAATTGAATACACAAGAAATATATGTTTTAAGTCACACATATTGGACTCTTATAATTATGATCGTTTTAAAAGGTATTCATCAAAACCAGAAAGTTATTGGCTTATTTACTTAATTCATATAAAGGAAATATAGGTTCATTTTATCGAGTTCATTTCCACATCATTTAGAACAATGATTTTCAGAAATGATAGATGTATATATAGTGGGGAATTTATTTTTATTTATTTATTTGAACACATAAATATTGGTACAAGGGGGCACTAAATATATATGCGCCACACAAAACAATGAGAATTTGACGAGAAGGAGAAAAGAGAAAAAAAAGTAATGAACGTGGGGAATTATAAAAAAAGGAAGAGAGAGAGAGAACAATGGTGGGGGAAACGGAAAGGTACAATCAGAAGAGATCTTTCAGTTAAGGAAGATACAACCACTTTTTATGAAGAAAGTAAGAGGTTACAGCACGATCGCCATTGGCTTCTATTCTTAGCCATATCTGATAACGTCTCTAGCCACTGCGTTACACCGTCTCTCGGACCCCAACCAGGGAGTCGTGAAGGACCAACAGAAGCTAGCCCTTTGCAGCTTTCTTTCATACCACGACACCATGTCATATACTGACCACCTCATAGTGGGGAATGTCTGTAGCTCATATGATGCCTTCTATCGACTTTACAAATTAGTCAAAGATTTGATTTTTTCTTTAAACATATTGTGCAAGAATTTCAAACGTGAACACATTTAAACTAAATACATAATATTTAAGATTAAGGAAAAAAGAGTAGTAACACAATGAAATTTAAACAAATTGACTATTGTTTACTTTATACCTCTGTACCCATAAAGTGTTTATTGTTTGACTTTCTTGTGATAATAAACACACTGTCTAGTTGAGGAAATCAAACTATCAAAAGATACAGAAATGGTATACCTATTGAAGTCATGTTTATTTGCTTCAGTTTACGCTTATTTATTTGAAAACATAAATATTGGTACAAAGCGACACCAAAAACAGATGTGCCACACAAATCACTTGATTTGTATGTGGACTGCGATACCGCCCGGGTGCCCAAACCGAAACAGGTGGTTTTCTTAGAGGGTCACACTGAGAACCTTCGACCTAAAGGTCTGGTCCACAAGGCAGTGGAGCATCGTAAAATGATGCGGTCCCATGGTAGCCGGTAACCAGAGATTGGTTCGTACGCCATTTGTTCCCTCAGGATACTGGAGCCCATATGCACCATTGGTTAGGGATCCAGTTAAAGCGCCGGAAATTCGCTTTTCGTCCTCTCATTTTCGTAAACAACACTCCTGCCACGAGAAGGCAGTGAGTAGGACTTCCCTGGCAGAGGCTATATACGCGTGACCATGTGAGAGCGAATTGGAGTCAGCTCTCGGGCCACTAAAGCGGAGAGCCCGTCAACAAACATCGTCCGATCTAAATGAAGACTAAATAAAAAGCTCCATTACAAGTCATGTCATTCAAGGTCTCTAATCATCGGTTGTTATCGTCCCACTGATCCCAACCAAGTAGTCTACACCTATCAACATGGCTCAGTCCACTTGTCAACGACTTCATGGGTTTGTGCCATGTTTTGGTTTGGTCGCCACTAGCTTTCTTCCAATCTACTCCTACACTATAAAACATCGAACTATATTTTATCATACAACTAATAAGATAAATACCAGACAAAGCTAGTATTATAGTTATTATTTAAAGATCACGATCTTGCACATAATTCAATTCTATAATTGATTAGTTGTATCACTTTTCAGACACGTAATTGAAATGGACTATACTTTCTTGTAAGGAAATTTCTTTACACAACAATACTATATGATAAATTATAACAAATACAATATCTATGTCATATCGATTAAGAGGAAAAGAACAAAAATCAAATAGATATATTACTATATGAAATATACAACTTACTATTAAATATATATAAAAATTAAACAAAGATGTAAACATAATATTTACAAATAAATATGAAGAGAGAGAGAGAAAGAAAGAAAGCATCGCCTTTCTATTTTAATAAAGTGATAATCAACCTTTAGACGTTGTATTCCTATTTATTTTTCTTTCTGATGTTGGAGAAATCAAAAACTCAAAGAAACATTATTCCATTGTAAAGTATGATCTATGATTTGTATTTCTGCATGTTCACATGTGCATATAGACATTATAATTAAAAGAATTTTTTTAAAAAAAAGAGCAACTGCCACATAAAACTGCATTGTTACATAGATAAAGAGAAAGTTGCAACTAGCGTAACAACATTTAATTAATCACTATCTTCGTTGTCATCATCATCATCATTGTTATTGTCAAAATACTTATTATATATAGATTTATTATCATATAGTTTTGTAGTGATATTTGATAAATTACTACATGTAGACTTTTTCTTCTTCTTGTTCATATCTGGTGGAACGGTTAAATCACCGGAATATTTAATTACTTTACCAACACCTAAACGCCATTCAAGCATAGTAGTAGAGAATTCATCATGACCACCAAGTTCATCAAATCCAATAATACGATCGCATACTTTTTCATTTTTAACAAGAATTAAAGTTGGTATTACTTGAATATTTAATCGTTTTGTTAAAAATGGTGCTTTCTCTGCATTAATCTTTACCATTCTACATTCAATATGTTTTGGAGCTAATAAATTTAAATGTTTATCTAAAATTTTACATCGAAATGTTGAATCACGATAAAAATGACAAACAAAACCAAATGATGATGTTTTACAAGCAGTAAAAAATTCTTTTTCATTTGATAATTCAGAATAAACACCATGTCCTAAAGCTAACCATTCAGAATGTTGTTTTGATTCTTCTTTCATTTGTTTAATTCGAAGTTTTCGAATAGCTTCTAAATCATCATCATTTAAATTATCCAAACGATTAATTTGTTCATCTAAGGTATCTTCTAATATTTGAGCTGTTTTTATTAACTGAGATTCAATTAATTTTTCATGATTTGTTGTTGGTATTTGTTTCTGTTTGGATGTTTCACTCATACTATCAAACTAAAATTTGGAATTGAAAATAATGTAAATTAATTTCATAAAAACTTTTGGAGTCATAATAATATTAGTGAAGCGGATTAAATAGATAGTGAAGTATGAAATTAAAAAATTAAATCTAACTCATAAAACATGCAATCCGCACTTAATCAGTTGGCAATCAGTGTCCGTAGGTATGGTATGTGCTTTGCACCTTCGAAGTGCAAAGTACTTCTACAAGACTGGCAGGATTCTAATCCTGTACTCACTCTGGATGGTGAGCAGATAGAAGTAGTCAAGAAGTTCGTGTATCTAGGTAGCTGCATAAGTGCTGGTGGTGGTGTGAGTGATGAGATCAATGCACGTATAGTGAAAGCCAGAGCGGCTTATGCCAATCTGGGCCACCTTTGGCGCTTTCGTGATGCTGGTCTGGTTGTAAAAGGTCGGATCTACAACGCGACGGTGAGAGCAGTTTTGCTCTATGTTTGTGAAACCTGGCCTCTCCGAGCTGAGGATATTAGACGACTCTCTGTGTTCGATCATCGTTGTCTCCGAAGGATTGCTGGCATCCAGTGGCAACACCATGTCAGTAATGCAGAGGTTTGGCATCGAGTGTTCGCGCACAGAGACGCGTATTATTTGCCGACTCTGGGACTGGTTGGAAAAAGCGGAGAGGTGGTCAGTGTATGACATGGTGTCGTGGTATGAAAGAAAGCTGCAAAGGGCTGGCTTTTGTTGGTCCTTCACGACTCCCTGGCTGGAGTTCGAGAAATGGTGTGACACAGTGGCTAGAGACGTTATCAGATATGGCTCAGAATAGAAGCCAGTGAGGATCTTGCTGTAACCTTCTTTTACTTTCTTCATAAAAAGTGGTTGCTTCTTCCTTAACTGGAAGATTTCTTCCGATTGTACCTTCTGTTCCCCCTCATTATTGTTCGCTCCTTTTTTTTATAACTCCCTACGTTCATTACTTTTTTTCCCTTCTCTTTAAACTTTCATTGTTTTGTGTGGCGCATATATATTTAGTGCCCCCTTGTACCAATATTTATGTGTTCAAATAAATAAATAAATATAACTCATAAAACTGATAATAGGAAGTTAGTTTTAGATTAGTACGCTGACGATGCAGGACATTACTTAAGGATTAAAAGACTATTCATCCATAAGACATAATCTAAATGATTATGTTGGATAAGATGCTAAAACTAAAAATGAGAAAATGATATCATTTCCACATAAGATATTTAGAAAGTAAATAACACTGGCACATGTGCATTCACTGTTTGCCTTCCTTTAAAATGTGAGTCCCAAAATCTCATTATACCTTTTTTATACCCAGTCTTTTACACTACTATTGATACTATTATCACTCCTACGACTCTGGAATTTGAAATAATTTTATCTCGTTTGTGGTATGGACCCAAGTCAGATTCTACGTTTTGTACAACTGACTGACCCAGTATTTTGGATGAGTAATTATAGATTCTTATTGTTGTTACTATTCAAGCACACAAACATTGGTACAAAGAAGTACCAAACAGATATATGCCATATAAATCATTCGATTTGTTATCGACTGAGTAATGCAAACTTAACTTGGGTTAATTTTATTACCATTAAATGTATAGAATTAAAAGCCCCCAAATGCCCTGGTATGACCGAGAGTAAGGTGGGCCCGCCCTCCCTCTCGAAATGCTCTCACACAGCCACACGTATACAGCCTCTGCCAGGGGAGTCCTACTCACTGCCTTCTCGTGGCATTACTGTTGTTTACGAAATTGAGAGGAAGAAAAGCGAATGTCCGGAGCTATAACCAGATCAAAACCAATGGTGCACATGGGCTCCAGTATCCTGAGGGAACAAATGGCGTATGAACCAATCGTTGGTCACCGGCTACCATGGGACTGCATCTCCTCACGATGCTCTACTGCCTTGTGGATTAGACCTTTAAGTCAAAGGCTCGGGGTGTGGCCCCCTAAAAAAACCACCTGCTTCGGTCTGGGCAACCGGGGCAGTATCACAGCCCACACACAAATAAAATGTGTGGCGCATATATATTTGGTGCCCTCTTGTACCAATATTTGTGTTCAAATAAATAAAAATAGAATTAAAATACTATAATTGTTTACCTACATGTTGGATAACTAAATTAATCTCAATGACCTAATGAAGCCTAAATTTACTGATTAAACGATGATTTTTCAAATTTATTTTAGCTAGTTCATATGTGATTACTCTTGTATCTTTTGTAACTGGAAAATACTTTCAAACTGTCAGGTCATTTGATGATATTTAAAAGCTGTTTTTAGTCTAATAGTCAAAATGTATTAATTCAATCCGCCTATGATGATTATGTAATATTCGTGAAATTAATTGTTCGATCCATGACCTGAAGGCTGTTGGTACAGAGAATGAAGTTTTAACCTTCAATCGTTTGTGTGATCATGGGTATGCATTATTAACTGGTCCTATAACAAAGATAGATGGGAACTATGATACCCTATGATTTCTGATAGTCGATAACAGTTCTTGATTAAAACTTATCTACATTTGAACAGTCTTCACAAACTATGCACTATTAGTTGTTTATTTATTTATTTACTTAGACACATAGACATTGTTGCCATATCTTTATATGCAATCTTTCCTTTATCGATTACACCGTTGAGTTGATTGCTTCTATGAATTTGGTGTTCATCTTGCTGTGCTAATAAGGTGTGGCAACTTGGACCGACGCATATATGTGCCTGGTCCTACGTTGCAACTGACTGACTGACCAAATAGATGTGCGCCACATAAATCAAATGATTTGTGTGAGGGTTGCGATACCGCCCGGGTGCCCAAACCGGAGCAAGTGGCTTTTTTAGGGGGTCACACCACAAGCCTTTGACCTGAAGGTCTAATCCACGAGGCAGTGGAGTGGCGTCAGAAGATGTAATCTTATGGTGACCAACAATTAAGTCATACGTCTTTTTTCTTCAGGGTTTTGGGGCCCATGTGCACCACTTGTTTGTAATCAGGGTTTTCCAACTTCCCTAGGTGGACCCTCCATATCCACCAACCCGGTAAAAGCGTCGGACATCCGCTTTTCGTCCTCCCAATTCTGTAAGCAACACCCTCGCCGTGAGTAGGACATTCCTGGCAGTGTTTGAATGGACGTGACCAAGTGAGGGCATTTCGAGAGGAAGAGCTGACTATCCTTAGTCTCAACCGTACCAGAGCATTTGGGGGTAATAGTTAAAGAAGTGCATGAATACTGAAAAAATAAGCTTCTTTTTTTATTTATTCATACATTAAGTGAAATTCATTGCATCTAAAGAACATGAGTGACACTAAATACTAATAACTACACAATAAATCTAAACAAATACTTATAAAATTTTAATTCAGCTCTTGTATTATCAAAAAGTTAATAAACATATGTTACACTTGAATTTGAGAGTAATAGGGATGAGACTATAAATAGAGAAATAAAAACATAACTGTTCGGAATCAACCAGTAGAGGTTACGGAATGATGTAGATGGTCTGAAAAGAAATTTACACCTGTACAAAACGAAGGACAACACTTATAATCCAACAACAATATGGGGGATTTTTTAATTTGCAGATTTTAGTCTAACATTGTAATATTTCAATGTTTAATAGTAAGTCATGAAACATTTGTCACCAATTCTGTGTAAATCCATGTCCATCCCAACTGTTAATCACAAGGTTCTTATTCCACTGTTACATACATTAAAGTAGCCGCTTATCATGCTTAATATGTAATGAAAGACCAAATTTAACAAATACCACTTTCGGAAGTGTCAAAAACCGTCCTACATTTCTGATATACAGTATGAGAAGAGGTCACCAGTATCTGCTAACTGAATGACTATATATAACCCGTGGCTGTACAAAGAAATTCCTCAATAACAAATGATGGATTGTCATCCAATGAATAAAGCATTCAAAATCCACAAATGTACAGAACCCTATGAATGTGGTAAGCATAATCACTCACCACTTTTCAAAATATTCATCTGAAGCAACCAAAGTTAAGATGACAGTGAGTAGTGTGTAAGGATAACTTCTTAAGGGTTTTCAAACACATGGGAACAGACCTCGAACACACATCTTCCAATATAGAAGTAGATGTTCATTCAGACTGTTCACCATAGAAATATATAAATAAAGGTTTGGACCAACACCGTTTGTGACAAGCAAATAAATAGACAAAGATATCTTAAAGTAAAATGTCAAGATGCTGTCACATATATCATTACAATCATAACAGCATCATGACAGTTCACCTCAAATAAAGGACAACCTGCAGTTTGAATTTCTCATAGAAAAGAACAGGTAGGTAACTTTAGGACACATCCAGAAAAACTACCAATTTAGATATTTTGTAGGTTTGTATCCATAATCCCTTCATTTCAGAATGAAAACGTTGAAGAGATAATATGGCAGGCCCAAATCTCCACTGAAGTTGACGAGCAACTTAGCGACTGAACTGACAATTAGGACACTACTAAAAGCTTAGAACCAACAAGCAAAGTTATAAACGGGTTTCTTATTTACATATTAACGCGGTGTAAGATAATGGCTTATTAGTATTGTATTCTTAGCTAATATTACTCCGGAATTTGCTGAACAAACAACTAAGGAAAGTGAGACAGGTTATTAAATACCCTTTGTTACAGGAAGTATTTTCACAAACAGGAAAGCCAGAAGTTTCTGTATTTTACCAAGCACTTTGCTAGGAAAGTTTAGCATTTTGAACTAAATTAGGTATTATGCTTTCTACACACAGATAGGCTTTTGAACCCCGTATATTTACGTACGTGTAGTAACATCATCAAATCTGGAAATACAACACTAAACAAATAGTAGATTGGGCGTTATTAAAATAATTAGACACCCGATTCCATCCAATGAGAACGGCTGCAGTTAAACAGCAGCACCGGTCCGTAATGATTAATACAAATCCATACATAGGTATTTACTTTTGGGCGTTTATATCCTATAATT